CTATTAGATTAGATTTTGTATTTAAGTCTCTAGATTTAGGTTGTGTAGCTTACTTTTAGGATTTTTAATAATCGAAGAGGTAAACAACGTACTGTACAATTCTCGAAATTTGAGTTCAATTCTGATATCTTCGTGTTGTCTGTGTTGCAATAATTTAGTCTACTTATTAAGATTTTAGTGCGAAAAAAATCTAATATAGATTTTTATCTTATAATTTGTAGARAATGTTTAATTAGATATTGTGATAGCTTTTCTAAATTGCATTGTTTTGAAAGATTTGCTGTAGATCACTCACTTACATGGTTAGTCATGAACTTTTTGTCTTGAAGAGGTAAACAATAGCATTTTGTATTTCAGTCTCTAGATTTAGGTTACGTAGCTTTAAGCTTTTAGGTTTTCTAGTAATTAAAGCATTCTTGAGTTTTGATGAGGACTAAAATTTCTCATTTTCTCGTAGGTGATCACTTTTTGAAGATGAGGATGAGGTTATTGAATAAAAAACTTAATGCTTTCTTGGATGAAAAGGTTTGAATTTTCAATTTGAGTCTTTGAGATAAGTGACTGTTTTCTCTTTCCAATCAACATTGTCGGCCCTTTTATTAAATACACTTGTCGGTTCTTAGTTTGGCATGAAATTGGAGTGGTTCTATTTAGTTCTAATTTGTAATGCATTTTTTTGATGTCTTTTTTATAACTGCCACATGTATGTTATAGTTAATAATGTAAGTCTGTTCACCTCTAGGTTTTCTTGATCATGCTTTGATTYTGCCTTTCATATTCTTGTGAGAGATCTCGAAGAATGTGGCAACTACTTAGGATATTGCCATCATATGCTTGAGTGACTTCTCTTTTGTATCTACTTTTGAGAATTCGGTTGCTACTGCAGGACCAGGGACAAACTTCAACTTCTTGTTATGCAGTCCCTCTTTTATTTGTTTTTCGTTTCAATGTTTGAATTTGCTTTTGTTGATTTTGGAAATTGGCATTTGTGGTTGTTAGTGCTTTGGATCTTCGTGATTGTTGTGATTGGTTTTATGTAGTGTTTATGTTCGTTTCATGCATATAGTTTAAAGTCTAGTTGGATAATTGTGTGGCTATCCTACAGCAAAGATAGTCAACTAAGACTTAGTGTTTATTTTT